AGAAACTCCCTCTCTTTCTTCAACTGCTCCTCCAGCTTCCTCATGTCCTTATCCAACCTCCTTATGTGGCCATCTACCAAGTCATAGGTCTTCATGGCAAGTGTGACCTTTTCATTTGCGAGTTTCATACCGAGAATCTGGTCTCGTTCGATCGCCGCCGTTCGCTCTGCCACGACGGCTGCTGACTTGTGGTCCCCACCACCTCCCTCTCCCCCACACCTCGCATTTTGTGCCATCACTTCTTCCAGACGCAGCGTGCACTGCTCCGCGATGTTCTGATGAAGTTCCTGTGACCTGCAGTCGAGATCTCGTATCCGGAGGAAATTCTGCTGCAGCTCTCCTGGCAGGCTGGCCACACTCTCCATATATTCCTTCAGGTAGGTGGTTGGTGCAGATCCCGTTGGAGATTTCGCTGTCCCGGCCGAAGAAGACGTCATTATCACAGACAACAAACCACCCACCCTTCCCAACAATCACCCAAAGAATGCCCCGGGGGAAGGGGGCGGGATATCGATGTCAAAGCCTTGCTGCTGAGGGCTCAAAAGGCATGATCGGAAGTCGTTTTCCGTTTAACAATTGACCTCAACCAGCAGATCCATGGATAAGGGTAAGGATAATTTCACCAGGGATAAGGATACGGATAATGCCAGCAGGAACAAGGATAATGGGTGGTGTCAGCAGGGATAAGGATAATCCAAATCAAAGTCTTGCCCCTGGGCTGAAAAGGCAGGATGGCAACTAATTCCCCGTTTAAGACTTGACATCAACAGTGAGATGGATCAGGATAAGGATAAGATAAGGATAACGGTAAAAATAAGATATAGAGATAAACCATACCTGCGGCAAAAGTGTGCGGTGTGGTGCGCTGATCACCGATGCGCAAAAAAAAAAAAAGGGAAGAAAGAAAGAAAGAAAGAGACAGGGGCCGTGATGTGTGAAAACTTGCATTCGTGCGCGCAAAAGAGAGAGAGATATAAGCAAGCAAGCAAGCAAGCGCGCGCGCGCGCGCGAGAGAGAGAGAGAGAGAGAGAGAGAGAGAGAGAGAGAGAGAGAGAGAGAGAGAGAGAGAGAGCAAACAAGTAGCCCTTAATTAGAAACCCCCCGGGGGTAATCCGAGAGGCCCCTGCAGATATTTAAATCGCCCACTACACGGGCGTGTACGCGAACCATTTCCACAATCAATCTCTCAAGCTGAAGCTGACCGATCTCCTTTTGTACCAATAGAACAACCTCACCTTTCTTAATACAATCATCAAATTGGACCTTCACTATTACACGTTTGCGAACAACCAAACCAAATTTCCTTCTAAACACGTCTGAGATCAACCTCCTTGCCTTCGTCCTATTTCAGTTGTAGGAGAACAGTTTTGCCATGCTATAGTACCCAACTAACTCAGTCTTAGTCTTCGCATACAAAATATTTCCTCTTCGCTTGTCCTTGAACATCCCCACCAGTTCATCCTTTAATCTGAGTGCCCTAGGTGTTGCTTCGATCACGTCCCGGACCACTATGCTTCCTTCATTCTCAAATAAGCCCTTGTCCGTTTTCCAACTACGACACGAGACTCGCCAAACAACGTCCTAACCACCCGCCAGTTATCTGCCCGCATGCAACCCCCGTTGCTATGGATTCACGTTAGCTGCCCACGAGCAAAATTCGACAAGCGCCTAAGCAACTCCATCAATCACACCGTTGCTTCCTCCTTATCCGTACGTAGGGCCAAGATCCTGCCCGCTCCACCCTGCTTTTCGTCCGCACAGGCCCCTTTGCCCCTCCGTTTCCACTCTCCTGCTCCTTTCCACGGCGTCGCCGTTTCCTGGTCCCCCTCTTCGTTCCTTTTGAGGTTAAGGATGGAGACCATACTCGAATCAGTGTTCGCTAAACAGCCTCCAACTCCTTCCGATCCTCACAGAAGTACACAGGGATAGCTACATAACGCTCGATGCCTACCTTCCCTGAACAATTGTAGAGATTGCTTCCCCTTCTTTTGTCACCTCCCCGCCCTGAAATACACCCGTTCTTCGGAGACGCAGGTTGCAGGTTCGATCCCTGCCATGCCCAAGTAGATGCTTAGGGGCAGGCTGCCGGTTCCCTGTCCGTGCCTAGATGGATGGTGCTGGGTTGGCTGGGGGGGAACTGAGCATGCTGTCTTATGCCAGGATAAGTTTGCAGCTGGCACTGCTCTGGAGCATCTATGGTTGGCTGGCTGGGATTAGATCTGTGCCTGCTGTCTGCGACCCAGCAGCTGGGCTACAGTGCCTTCACCTACTAGGATCAGGCACCCCTCGGGGGGATGGCCCAATAAATTGTACCCGTTGGGGGTAGGCGGTTCTTGATGAGAACAGAAAGGCTGCTCGCAGCACCTCAGGGGGACTGAAGGTGACACCTGTGCAACTGGGTAC